ACAAAAAATTTACATTCATTTTACGTAAAATTGACATAAACATGCTGTTTGGGTAAAAGCCTATGCAAAAATTTTCAGAATTCATCGTTGCCTTGAACCGGAGTTATAATTTTCTTTATACTTCTCATGTTCAGGGATTCGTTGAATTCGTTGAAGATGAATTCGTCACGCGAATATTTCCGAGCCCCATGATCTCATCCCAAGTCAAAAGGAGGCCAGGGTGTAATGGTGTTCGTTCATGTTCCAGAGTTCAACTCTGGGTCTTCAAAAGCCATCTATGACATCATTGCAGGAGATGAATCCTGCATATAACAATTTGACCCAGAGACGAAGCGCCAATCCATTGTCAGGCTCTTCCCTTGTGAACCGACCCCAACCAAAGGTCAAGCGGCCTAGAAGTGTGGGAAGGCAAATTGTGGCTAGTTTCTTCTCTTTCACTGGTCACATAGCCACCATACCTCATCATGGTCAAAAGACTGTGACCTCGAAGTGGTACGCAGAATACTGTCTCCCGAAGGTGTTGGATCTTTGAAGAATCGGAGGCCCAAGTCACCCTCGAAATCATGTATGCTCCATCATGACGACACGTCCAATTACACAGCCGCCCGCACATCGACTTTCCTACATGAGTCTGACATCAGGGTGCTCCCACATCTAGCCTATGGTCCAGACCTGGCCCCGTGTCACTTCTTTCTCTTCCCAAGAGTCAAAGAATCGCTTCGTGGACTACGTTTTCAGTCTCCAGAAGAAGCAGTTGCTGAATTTATTTCAGTTACCATGGGTATCCCAACATCTGAGTAGAAAAAATGCTTTGAGAAATGGTTTTCAAGGATGGGAAATTGCACTAATGCTCAGGGCTCATACTTCGAAAAAATGTAATGATTGAAAGTTTCCGGATACGGACAACTGAAAACTAGTGCGTGTTACTCAGAGTGTCCCTCGTATAAGCGTTTTCATGGCAAACCGTGGCTTTAAATTGATCTTTTGCCAACCCCCCCCCCCCCCTCCTTTTGCCTCTGCTCATTCCTAGGAGTCACAGGGTCACCGTTTCACTATTCCACTCCAATTGCCTTGCAATTACACGGAAGAGACAGTATTTGTCATATCAGCAATAATCTGGGTTGAAGCACCTCTTACATACCATGCTACCTACTAACCTACATGCCATAACTGATTGACTCAGTGAGATTCTCAACTCAGCTGCATGTTGCTAAATTGTTGGCAGCGCTGAAATGAATGCCAACCAAAGATATCTAATTGATTTCCTCATTTTATCATGAGTGAAGATCACATTCGTATGTGTCACAACGACATCACACGGCGGCATATTACGGAAGCGAAATACGCGAACCCTCATTGGCAGCGTAATGCCTGATGAAGCATGAGTTCCAATGATTTTTTCATCCATCACGATCCCAGCGTCTCCGTTTCCCTCCCCCAGATTTCCGAACGCCACACTTTCGTTATGACCAATGTGAAGGATCTCACTTTTGCTATTGAACTTCATGAGCCGTTTATTACTCCATTCGTCCAAAAGCTGTAAATCCACTTCGGCTCTCACCCTGTCCATGACGGAGAAAGCTAAGTTCGTATTCTTGGCAAAATTTCTGAAATGGCGAGGCCCTCAACTGCTCAGGCGCATGAAATATGAGACTCATTCGCTTGTGACTCTTCGAAATTTAAATCCACGTGCCTTCAATGACGTGACGAATATCAACGTCGAAGGATCGAAATGACCTTCATGGGACATCCATGAGGAGGAAACAGATCAAAAGCAGGAAAAGCAAGCTTCGAAAGCAGGCTTCGAAAAATTGAAAGAAGCCTTTGTCATATTTTTCAGGTCATTAGAGAACATCCTCAAAAGATCTTCCAATCATCCAAGAGATGAGACACTTGTCTGAAATCCTGGTAAATACAGCGGAGATGAGTCTGGAGAGTTCGGAAGCGAGTCGAGCGTTTCCCGAAAGTAAAATGAAGAACTGACACCACCGTTCTCAGCAAGCAGTGATGAAAACTTGGAGGGATTCCCGAACTTTCTCTGTTTTCGATATCTATTTAGTATGCGTCTCATATACGAGTGATATTCAATTAAATTATATTCAATATTCAATCAAATTAAAGTTATTGAACCGAGAGTCATATGGGCCTTTGCGCTGTACTTTGAAATTTGGATTAAGCGCTATTTGGCGTTACAGTTGCAAGCAATATGGCCGAGAGCGAGATTAAGCTCAAACAGCGTGCTGTAGTCGAATTCCTGCTGAATCAGGACGTGAATTGCAATGAAATTCATAAACGACTCGTGAACATGTCGAGAGTATACTTTCAAATATGATTCCCAGGCCTCCCAGCAAAGAAGCACGCTCGCACGCTTCACAGGAATCACATCGGCGTGGGATGAGAAACGAAGAGCGAATTAGAACCAGCGATGTGCCGATGTAGAGCTGAAGGAACCGTCAATCGGTCACTCCAGCTTGTTTGGGGCCCCAAGGCAGCCATTGACATCCTCCGTCACGTCCAGAGGACTCAGTGCGGACGGACGTTGGATGTCTGGGGCTGCGTGAGGAGTTCGTCTGCCCTGAAGGAAATCCCGGTTTCCATTCCAAACGCGATTCATTCACGATGGCGCGGCTGCGAGAGAGATGAAGATACCTGTACGAAAAGGAACTTTAATGCAAAGATGAATGCAAATTTCATTTCGTCTGCTCGTCAAGTCACTCTGATTCTGCAAACTAAGAAAGACGCAGCCGAAGAATTTAACTGAATCGCTCGTTATCGTCTCTCAATTACTTTCTCTTGGATATTTATTTCCCTTGGAAACGATGTGAGCATTAGATGATGTTTAGATGATTAGGTGATGCTCACCGCAGTCGAGTCTCTCTTTCGAGGTGAACATGCGAGAGACCGAAAAGCGAACCATCAGTATCGCAGAGAAGAGGAAATTCGGTCTGGAGCAAATCCGGAAACAGAAGACCGCAGGTAGTTCCATCGGCTGTGCAACGTGAATAGTGGAATGACACACTCCATATATTTCTTCCCACATGAACACCCTTCGGTTCCTGGTTAAACAATCGAGTACCGTTTGAGAAGTACGATATACTTGTGAATATACATTTTCTAAATTTCTACGAAATTCTTATTTGAATTTACGCTTCTACCTCGCCTTTTTATGTACGAGGGGTGTTCAAAAAGTTTCCGACCTGAGCGGGAGGATGACCAGTTAGCACAACTTCACTTTTTTCCATGATTCTTCATTCAATTTCAAGAGGAAAACTAGCATGTCCGATCACCCAGCTTTTATGATATTTTCCTTTTTTCATAGATTTTTAAATTGAGGTCACTCTCATGTTTTTGGAAAATGGAAAAATGGAGCTTCGTGCAGTGATTAAATTCTGCATTTGAAGAACTTAACTGCAAAGGAAATCCACGTTGAGATAGCGACTGTTTTAGGGGACAATGCCATTTCCTATATCACGGTGAAAAGTTTGGTAGCTGTATTCAAACGTGGCAGGCAGAGCACAGATGATGAGTCACGGTCAGGTAAGACCAACGACTTCAATCTCTGATGAGAATGCTGATCGTGTGGAGGCTATGGTGTATTTAGAATGGCGAACGACCATTAGGCACATTGCTTCGACCCTGCAGATTAGTGCTGGTAGTGAAGAATCTTTATTGAAGAACAACATCCGGATGAAGAAAGTGTCGGCAAGATGGATGCCCAGGATGTTGAACGCAGAATCGATGCAGCATCGCCAGCAGGCTTCGATGCAGCTTCCTTAGCGGTACCAGACAGATCTAGCCGGAAAAACCCAGATTCACCACCCGTTGAAAATTCAAGGTTCCTTCAAGAAGGGACATGTAAGGGACATTATTTTCAATCAATAATATTTAAGTTGAGTTTGAATTGAATTTAACAATTCAATTCAATTCTCATGAGCCTCGTGGAAATAAAAAGTGCTCTCTTCCTCGTGGAAGGGATTTTTTTTTAAATGATGGTTTGCCCAAAAACTAGAAAACATTTTCCTGTTGGAAAATGCAATTAAAATTTATCGCCACAAATTTCTAGAGATGAGTAAAAATTTCGAACCTCATGAGTAGTTTTCGGAGTTTTCTGGGATTCTATTGGATTTAAGACATGCAATCCTGCAAGATAGGAGAAGAGACCCAGGATATTTTGACTACTAAAGAGAAAATATTGCAAGGAGTTATAATACGCAAGCTGTCCCAAAAATATCTAGAAGTCTTAACTGTAACATTTACTCATAAGGAGGTGAAATCGATTATGACAGAAAACTTTTTATTTATTTATATCAAGCATTTCAGCAACTTTTCAGGAAAACCAGTTATTGCAATTTTTTTCAATTCAAGCAGGAGTCATAATTGAAATACAACATGAGAAAAGCACGACGAAAGCAGTATACAGTACATATTTCAATGTAATTTGATAATATAGTTTGTGTCATTTATTACTTGAAGCTTTTCAAAGGGAGATTAGATATCAAATTTACCAAAGGTGTGAGGCGTCGTGAAATTGTTCTGAAGTGGTGGTATTCCCATGTACGAGTGGATACAGAGTTTCTCTACTTCCTTCTCAATATGGAAAATCTGTAAGCCATTGTGATACATTGTCACGTTGTAATGCTCTTTTTTTTTAGTTTCTCTGATCGACGCGATATGACGTATTGTAGCTAGAATTCGTAATCGAAGCATTATAAATGTGGTTTTCTCAAAATCTAGAAAAATGCAGCTAAATGGAACACGAAATTGAAGTTTATCGCCTCATAATTCTAAAGATAGGAAATTTTTCCGAACCTCATGGGTAGTATTTTGGAAATTTCTGAAATATTCTTTTAGTTCTGAGAAAAATATGAGGTTTAAACTTGTTTTGGTATAGGCGTGCATGGGTGCAAATGAGTAAAACGTTGTACATAATATCAAACTCAATCTCTTTCCCTCCGGTTTGCCCAGGCTGTCATCTAGGCATCTAGTCAAAGCCGCTGAAGGTGGTGGAATCGATCGTGACAGAAAAAGCGTTTTTTTTATTTCAGAAAATTTTCGGGAAAATCAGTATTTGCAATATTTTTATTATTCAAGCAGGAGTCGCAATCGGAATACAAAACGAGAAAAGCATGACGAAAGCGGTATACAGTACATATACGCAGGTACGAATGATATTTTCGTATTCGCGCTTATAACATTTGTACTATCGTTGTGAGTAAGGTGCGAAGTGAGATGCGTTTTGATTCGTAAAATGCCCAATTGGGGGGGGGGGGATAAACCGTTAGATGAGGTTCGCGATGAGGTTTAAATGGTTGCAAGGGGAAAAGCAATATACATTCTTGTGCCACCATCAACATAACGCGTTATTTTCATAAAACAATATTGTCACGCGATATCTCTCTAATTTGCTGAGCAAAATGCACTGGAAGCTGAACGTTACATCAGATACCTACGATTACGTGAAAATGCGATTCGCATTTTGCAAAATTCACTGCCCATATCGAGTAGTAAGCTGAAAGGCCGAAAGGTGTTAATTTCATTCACTTCCGTAAAGCGATGCGATTCCTAACTAAAGCCTCAGGTCCCCTCATAGACGCATTTCCTATAATTCAAACCCGGCACGCATTTCACAGATATGCATTCTGCGCGTATACGAGATGCGTACCGGAGATGATTTTCACGCCCGACCCGTCCGGACGCCGACGGAACGTTCCTGCATACTTCGCACGCATTCATCGAGACCGGACCCGGAGCCCCCGGCCCGCCTACTCCGGGGTGAGCCGGAGCAGCCCGAAGAAGGACTGGCCGGGCGACATGATGGCGTAGCGGAAGGGCTCGATGTCGGACACGAACACCCGGTCCCCGACGTCCAGTCGAGAGAGGGCGCTGGTGTGGCACGTGTTGCTCCTCACGCCTTGGTGGCGGCCGTGCGCCATGGTCACGCACTGCGCCACCACGTCGTCGTTCGCGTAGATTCGGTATCCGTTCGCGTCGTGGGAGTCCGAATAGTGGATCTGGAAAGAGAAAGGATCGTCTAACGAATTTGTACCTTTCCTATGCAATTTTTATTTTTAGAATTTAGTATGAACCGCAGTCGAAACGCATTTCGTTCATCGTCTTAAACTGTGCCGCCAACATCATGAGGAAAATGAAGGGAGGCGAAGGAGAGACCACCATTCGCTCCTCTCTCTGTTACTCGAGAGAAATTTCCTATTTCGATTTGATTTTATAATATAATTTGTGTGATTTATTACTTTTAGCTTTTGAAAGGCCGATTGGATGTGGAGTTTACCAGAGATGTCATGCGTCTTAAAAGTGCTCTGAACTTCGAAGCAGTGGTATTCCCATGTACGGGTGGATGTTAGAAATCCCCAATTTCTCTACTTCCTTCTCGATTCAAAAATCGGCAACGAGTGAATTTTGAGCAATATCCGAGGAAGACACTCACTTTCTCTCTTTCTCTCTCCCTATTTTTTTTTCCCCCTCTTTTTCTCGGCAGGGTGCCTTTATCACTCGATCTTAGAGGGAGGGAGAATCCAATTTTACCGTCATATAGGCAGTTACGAGTCAGCATGCCAAAAAAATAATTGACAAGAGTTTACAAATGCGTTCACGGTTTGCAAAAGCGACTTGGCACATTTGCAAACTCTGTTCCGGGAAAGCCTATGCAGGCTCGAAAGGCAGGCTGCACGGAAACGAAAAAATAGACCGTGTGGCCAAATATTGCAGCAAACAGAAAGGAACCGCAAGAAGATGCCATGGAATAAACGTTTTCAAAAGGAAGAACGTCGAAACGAAAGCACTTTTTGGCTCACGATGCCAATTTTTACATTTGAGAAATCCTTGGAGGAGAAAGTAGCGAGATCCAATAGTAACGAATAGGGGAATGGAAACTCTAAATAAGCGATGCGAAAATCACAGAGAAAACGTAACTGCGTTGATGAATTTAGAGAAAATAATATCGATATCCCTATTGTCAAGTACGAGCTGTTTGCAAATAACTTGCACAAAAAATGTGCAAAAACTACTCGAAGCAGGAATAACCCGAGGCATGTCTCTGCAGAGCGAACAGCAGGAGCGACGAAAGCGCGGGAACGCTTTTTTCATGCGTGGAAAAATGCGATCACCTGAGCGTAGACGAGATAGAGTCCGGGGACTTGAATGGTGACGATCCCCTCCTGGATGGGGAATTCCTGGAGGTTCTCCCCGTCCTGGATCCAGGCGGCAGGGCTCCAGTGCCGATGCACCTCGTGGATGTTCCGGAGTCGCCCGTTCCCGGCGTAGTCCGGGTCCCCGACCGTGAAGTTCGACGCGTCTCCTGTTGCGGGGAGCGATTCAAAGACGGGTTTGCTTTTTGCACCCGAAATCGGAGAAGATTTTCATCGCGCGTGCTCGGTGCGAACAGGTCTTTTTTCCCCGCACCTCTTCGGTCGGGTCCGTTGTCGTTTTTACCCAGTGTCCTCGATCCCGAGGAAAATATAAATATGCGAATGCGAGCAAATATAAATGGAGTAATATCTCCTTCGGTTCTCATCGCTTGAAAACATTCTTCGGATCCATCGGTCGCTTACGATCCGTACCACGAGTCCAACTACTCTCATCGATCTATGAGGCTCCTCGATGCAGTCGAAAATGATCCGCGGGCGCAAAAAAATCTCCTCGAAGCTCACCTTGAAAGTGGATCGCACTGAAGAGATCCTCGTAGAGCATCTTATGCTTCTTCCTTCGACGGCGGAGCTTTCCCTTCTTGGGCCTCGAGAGGTCCTCGCTCGACTGAGACGACTGGGGAAGGATCACCATGTCCGTGTCCTCCTTGCCCCCGAGGGTCCGGATCTGGAGGCCGGGAGGGACGCTGCTGCGTGGGGAGGTGTTTCGAGCCGGGACGACGGTGTCGCCCTCCTGCCGGGCGGAGGTGCTCTTCACGCGGGAGCGGCGGGACAGCACGCGGGAGGAGTCCGTCACAACCGGGGAGTCGTTCAGCGATCTGCGGGGGGAGGGGGGACGTCGGCCGTTAATTCGTTTTTTCTCTCTTTCCGTTTCGATCCTTTCGGGATCGTCGCGGCTATTTCTGGCCGTTCGTCATCCGGCGCTGGGTCGGGTTACGTTTTCATGCCAGGGCGCACCTGGGAGACCAGGATCGGCACGCGTCGACATGCCATGCCGGAGAATAAATGGCTGGCTTTCGTGTGGAGTTCTAGGTCAGGATATGGAGATTTTTAAAATCCGATTTGACCTTCGATTGCACGAGTCGTGGAAATGTGGCAGAAAAATGTATTATGTCAATTATCGTTTAGTTTCGAATTTCTTATATTTCACTTTTAATTTTTTGGGGAAAGCAATGGTCTGTGAGGCACAGATTTCATGCCATTTGACATCGTTACACGATAGAGGACCAACCAAAGGGATATGAATAAAAAGGTGGTGTAGTGTAATGTATTTAATCATGAGCGTGCCTATTCTCAGTTACTTTATTGTTCGTTCCTTTTATTTTTATTCGCGACTGATTTGGGCCGACTGGGCCCAGAACCTCCCCGACGATGAACTTTTGAGAAGCCAGTCGATCGACATTGGGCAAGATCAACATTTTTTTTCTTCTCAACGACGAGAAGAAAAAAACGATGAGAAGAAAAAAAAAATCGATTACTCTGACTTTGCAGTTTTGTGATCGCCCGAATTCTCGCCCAAAAAAAATACGTACAAAAAAAATAATAATAAAAAGATACGAGATGAAAAATGACTGACGGCAACCTGGAGCGGAGATACGTGAAGGCGGGGCCGATGGTCGGACCTCGGGGGTCGTCGTCGCCCTTCTCGTTCGGCGTCCAGGTGGAGCTGACCCGGTGGTGCGGCAGCAGGCCTTCCGAGTCCGACTCCGATTCCCAGTCTTCTCCGCTGCGTTAGCGACGAAGAGCTGCTATTCGTTTTCTTCCAATGATTTTATCGGAAACGCGTCCTCGAGAGGAACATCCTCGCGGGCGCTTTCGAACCCCGAGCGCAAAATAAAAACGAGACGGTGGAGCGAAAATAGCGATGCCGAGCATCGGATCGGCTTCGTTTCTCCGACGACCTTTAAAATCCCCCCGAAGAGAAAGGAAGCGGAAACACCCCACCTGCGAGGATCCTTGTTCGGCGAGAGCAGGTTCTCGTAGAGCCGGAGCCCCTCGCTGTGACGCTGGCCGTGCACCGGCCAGCTGGTGTAGCTCTGCGAATGGATCCTGACGCCGTCCTCCGTCGTGTCCTTGTCCTTGTCCTTGTCCGCGTTCGCCTCGCGCCTCCGCCGCGTCAGAGACCAGCCCGTCTCCCCGCACTTGCAAATAGAACCAGTTCTTCTTCACAGGTGTCTCGCATTCCTCCCGCATCCGTACCGCAGGTGTCTGACATTCCTCCCGCGTGCCTTCGACACGTGTGCGAGCGAGGGAACATCGTATCCGTTTCCTCGGCCTCGAAAACGTTTCCTTTTCGTTCGTTATGGGATCGATCGTGTGGGAGTTGCTTAAAATCTTATTCCGATATTCAATTTCATCTGTTCAAATTCGATTCGTTAAATGATTGAATTTCGGTCTTAAAATGCATCTCCACAATTTGAGACTATAGCTCGAACCAGCTGAAAAAGGGAGGGTCGGTAATGAAAGAAAAAAAAAAGAAAGCGATTTTCCATATTTTCTACGACAAACAAATTTCTGTACATTTTATTATTGCAATAATTTCCCATACGGTCCTTAAATCGTGTTAAAAGTTAATCGCGCCAGCGTCTACAGCACGGAGTGAGTCAGAAATCAGTCGTCGGACTTGGGAATCACACGGCTGCGAAAACGCAGAAAAAAAAGTAAATCTGGCTCTCTGCCATCGTTTTCTCTCCAGACGCCACTTTTTCCAATTTTTATGGAAATGTATTACATTTTAGGGCTTCCGTTTGCCTATCTGAAGAATTTCAAGTCTCCTCCATTTTTTTTTTAAGGCACTGTACCGAATATTCATAGGCGGTACCATTTGCAAACAATGGACTCGATTTAAAGGACGGGAACGAACCAGAGGAACGTGAAAGTTTCCGGTCGGAAATTTCCTGACTCTCTTTCCGCGCCCGCGAGGATCCCAGCTGCCGATTTTTAATTAGTTATCGCTTCGTTAGTGTCACCTTCCGATTCGATCTGCCCCTTCGGGAAAATCTTTGGGGTGAAATTACAGAATCCGTTCCCAAAATTCACTCAGAGTCCCCGAATATTTTGTTCCCTTCGCTTTCTCGTCGCCGTCCGGGAAGACGCAAACGACCCGATAGAAAACGCGGACGGTACTTCCAGGTTCCACGTTTTCCTCTCGTCCTTCGTCCTTCGTCCTTCGTCCCTTCGTCCCTAAGACGCATCGTTCGCGTTAGAAGAGACCGACCGAATGAATCACTTCCGTGACCTTGTCGTGACGGGTGCAAAGCGTAAACAACTGTGGCAGATCATTTATCTCCAGATAATATATATATATAAATAACAAATAGCAGGTAATAAATGACAAATTACATGCGATAAAATACAATCGACCGTTAATTAACGACAAACGACTGGAAGTACAAACGATCGTTAACGAACGTCTCGTGACGGGTCGTAAATGAGAAACGACGGGTGATAAACGAGATGCAGCCGACCTGGCACGCTTCCTCGAGCTGCTGCACGTGCTGTCTCAGCGTCGACAGTTCGCCTCGGATGAGGCGGGCGTCGAGGGTCGCGAAGATCGCGAAGGCGAGCGCCACGGCGACGGCGCAGGTCGCGCACAGGGCCCGGGCGACCCGTCGGCATTCCGCCCCTCGAGCAGGGTCTCCTTTCTCCAGCATCTTCTCCGCGTCACATGCTTCCATGTGAGAGGGTCACCTGAGACGAGAGGGGTCACCTGAGGCGTGAGGGTCAGACACGGCCAAGCCGCTCAGTGGCTATGGATGACGAGAGCACAGATCGACAACTCCCCTCCCTCCTCCCCTCTCTCCCCTCCCTCCTCCCCCCTCCCCCCTCTCCCCTCCCTCCTTTCCTCCCCCCTCCCCTCCCTCCTCATCAGTCCAAAAAAAAAAGGAAGCAATCTTTTGACAAGCCCTGTGCAAGCAGTCACGAACGCCACGGCAGACGCAGAGAGAGAAACACAACTCCGAACTCGTTGAGAATGGATTTTTTTTTTTTACTGACCACTTCGTCTGGGGGTGCGGAGTGCACATTCCAAGCCCACATACGGAGCTGGTTCTTATCGCAAGTCTCTATCGACTTGCCCCTCATCCCCCCCTTCCTCCCCCCCTTTTTTTTTAAACCTAATCATCCCACGTTTTCCTTGCTCGGGCTTCGCGGGTCAATGGGTTTCACGATCGCTGCCGCCCCTCGTTAGACTCGGGGTCGACTCCATCACGTCGCCGTGTCGCCGAGTCCCCACAAATTCCATTTCGACCTTTCGTCGTTGCGTCTTCGAATCGATGACGACTGCGATTCGTTTTTTTTTTTTCCCTTTCGTCGTGCACAAACTTGGCTTTTCTCCCGCTTCAGGAGTTTCGTCAGAACCCTTGTTTGCAAACGCAGCGGAAGACGGCCACCAGACGAGATCGACGAATCGACGACGTTCGTTCGACTCGCTTAGGCACGGTGAAGATCTCGAAGGTCTTCGGGCCAGGCATTCCAGAAGGCCTCCCATACCGGGAACACGTGACGGAAGAGTTTTCGCAGCGCAAAAAAAAAAAAAAATTAAAAAAAAGCAAGGCCAAGACGTTCGCAGGGAAGGATATTAATATATTTTCGCTGTCAAGGCTTCTGTTTTCGCACTTGCGGATGTCTCTCCTTCCTCTCCTTCCTCTCCTTTCCTCTCCCTTCCTCTCCCTTCCTCCCCCTTCCTCTCCCTCTCTCTTCCTCCCTTTCCCCAAGTCATACGTCCGCGTCAGCCCGACGACTTTGGAAACCTCATTACGCCCTGACATGTACGTCTCAGTTATTCTTAGCTCAAGGACGGACTTTTCCTGGTCCCGGTCCTGACAGCGTGCCTTCCCGGAAAATCACCACTTCTTGGGATCTACACTTTTTTTTTTTGCACGCATTTTGGCAATACTCGTGGAGTGCAAGAAAATAAAAAATAAAAGGCCGAAAATAATTTTCCCCCCTCGGAATTGAACTTCGCGAGGGAGTTTTCGTCAGACGGGAATTTTCCGTCCCCGCGACGAAATGGGAAGCGGGACCATCAAGGCGTGGAGCCGAAACGGCGAAACGAGAAAATGCTTCGGACTCGACGGCGCAGCGCCGAGTCGGCAAGAGGTATCGTCCGATTACCGAGCGCCGAAGTGCAAAAAAAATTCGTTCAATTACCGAAGTTTCAGGTACGGCCAGAAGGCTTGGAAGCATAAATAGGTGGTAAGTTATTTCGGTGCCTTCGGATGGTGAGTATTGCAATTAGAATGAGAATCGGGGGAAGTTATTCCATTTTTACGCGCTGCGAAGAATATTTACATTTTAATATATTCCATATTTGAAGGCATTCGAGTGAAGTGGAAAAAAATGACCGAGAGGAGGGAAGGAAGACGACGCGAAGATCACACAGTTCACCGAAACACACGACCGAGCCGAGATTGCACAGAGGGTCGGGGTCGGGGGGGAGGGAGGGGAGGGGGGGGGGGGGGGGGGGGGAGGGGGCGGGGGGGGGGCGGGAACAGGGTCGGAGTCCAGCCTCACACTGAACGGATCCCACCGGGGACCCTCGGATATAGCCTACCCCTTCCTGCCCACGCCCCGCAGACGGAAACCGGAGATCGCAGAGGACGTCGCGCCGGAGTGGAGGACGTCGCGCCGGAGCGGAGGATGTCGTTCCGGAGTGGAGGATGCCGTGCTCGATTCGAGTCCTCGGAAAATTTCCAGCCTGACGTCCGCTCCGTTGCAGTTCGCGTGAGAAACGTCACCGAACGGTGTAGCCGAATCTGTCGCGTTACCCCGAGTCCGATCCGGTTTCACTCGGACCTGTCACGAGTCGTTCATGCCGCATAAAATAAGAGCTGGAAATTCCTGTTACCTGGAGGAAAATCCCATACTTTTTTTCTTCAACTTCTACATATTTATTTAATGTTCTATTTACCTCTTGTTAAACGTATGTGAACGTCCATCATGCGGTCCACTGTTGGGACCTCGAGGAGTTAGGAGCGGAGAAATCCGAAGTCGTATTTCATATATGAACTTTCATATTTAAAATCCGTTTCATCCGAAAGGGTCGGAAAGGTTCGGCTGCGTTCGTAGAGGATCGCCAAGATCATAGAGCTCGAACCACGAAGCGTCCCATTTCTTTTTTTTTTTTTTTTTTTTACCTCCCGTACGCATGATGAAATTGGACTCGGTGTCGCCTCGGTCGACACCGGGAATAATAGGCTTCGTGAGGCCGACTCCATATGGGGCGAGGCCAAGGCGACCCGGGTACAAAAGTCGGATCCGTCTCCCTTTGTCCGGCGGGAGACACTTTTGTCGCACTTTTCTCGTCCGGCGTCTGAGTCACTGCCGAGGTTACATTACCCCGGTTAATACGGGCGTGGGCGGTGACCCCCCTCCCTGCAATCTCTCACTCGTAAGAGGATAATGCGGTCTCGGTCGGTCGGGGCCGGTCGGGGCCGGTCGGGGCCGGTCGAGTCCCTGACAAATCCGGGGTTTCCGCGAGTGAAAGGGGACGAGGACGGCTGGGGACCGATTTATCCAAGAAACGGCCGAGTCACCCGAAGGTTAAGACTTAGAGGTTAAGGCTTAAAACGCTCGATCATGCGCTTGGGTTGCGATTGCGATCTCGAGCTGTTATCGTGGAAGACCTGACTTTTTAACAAAGAAAATCGGGCGTCACCGAATGCCTCGTCTTCCGAGCGTCTTCTGTACCGGTCGAGGAAAAAAAAGAGCCGGATGAGATCGACTGGATGACGCCGGTCGGATGATGCCGGTCGGATGATGCCGGTCGGATGATGCCGGTCGGATGATCCCGGTCGGATGATGCCGGCACGCGACGAGCCCACAGCGTCGGGTGGAGTCGCGAATCGCGAATCGCAGGAAGGCCGTTCGCGGAGTCCGAAATCAGCGAGCGAAATCGCAACGGACTCCGTGAACCCACCGGCTGGGTAAAGATTTCCTCTTTCCTTTCGATTTGGCGAATTTCACGGATGAAACCGCGTGGTGAGGGAATAAACAGCGCGAAAAACTTGAAAGTTTCACGGGAGCGATTAACGTAATTAAAAGATGCATCAGGATCATCTGGAAATAACCACTGCGATGAGAAAGAGAAAGTTGAACCCTGAAAACTGGAACCCACAAAACTTGAATCCATAAAAATAGAACCCACAAAATTTTAAACTTCAAGAATTTTTAAACCTAAAAATGTCAATCCCACAACACCTTAACCCACAAAATTAGAAGGCGCAAAATTTGAAGCTGCAAAAAGCGTAACGACCCAGAAAAAATATGCAGCGAGAGAGGAAGAGAGAGAGAGAGAGAGAGAGAGAGAGAATGAGTTCCCCCACGCTTGATGAGTCGGAATGGGCGGACCTCGACGACGATGGATGGATCCCAAGCGAAAAAAAAAAAAAACCATCTGGGGGTCAAGGTCGCGAAGGAGGAATTTCCTCGTCGGAATCGCAGAAACCGGATCAGCAGCCGCGTTCTCGGTACCCTCATTTGCATGCGAAGCGATGGTGGAAGCACGGAACCGTCTCCCGTGGGGTTTCTTTTTTTTTTTTCTTCGCTCGCGCTTTCCTCGTTGAAAAAACCGGCGTTCTTTCGCCTCGTTTCATTTGCGTCTTGGGATTTCTGTTCGTGTCATCAGCGAACACTTTGGAAAATGCGGGATTCGCGCGTCCGTTCGAGGCCGTCCGCATCGGCAGGAGACGACACGGAACGACACGGACGGTCTCGTACGACCCGACCCGAACCGGAAGGAATCCTCGGAGGATCGAAGTACTCGACTCGAGCGTGATATGTAAAAACCCCTGTTTTAAAAATATTATTTTTAAAGACGTTAAGAACGACAGAATGAGATCTGCCGTGGCTGGACTCCGCGCGTGATTGCGACTGGCACGAGGTTCGCGTCGAAGGCGGTTCGCGTCGAAGGCGGTTCGCGTCGAAGGCGGTTCGCGTCGAAGGCGGTTCGCGTCGAAGGCGGTTCGCGTCGAAGGCGGTTCGCGTCGAAGGCGGTTCCTGTCGAAGGTGGTTCGCGGGTATCGGAACCGTTTGCCGTCGTGGTTAGAGCCGTCGATTCCACTCGATGGGATCACGCTTCATGGAATACCATTGCAGGATCCGAATTTTTTTTAGCCATTAGATAAACGCGACGTGAAGGAATGATGCAGTTGTTGAGTGGCTCGCTGCGAGCAATTCATTTTTTCTCAAATACGGAATAATTTTTTTTTTATCGCTGAAAAACAAAATGTTTTCCCGATTCCGCCTTCTCGGAAAGTGTCCCCCCCCCCCCCCCATTCCCTCGATCCTGCTTCGTGGAACCATGGTCATGTGTTGCCCAGCTTGCCTTTTCCGTGAATCAAGAGCGGGGGGAGGAGAGGGGGGAACGGGGAGGGGGAGGGGAGGGGAGGGAGGGAGGGAGAGAGGGAGGGAGGGCAACACCCTCTTTCCTGGAAATTGTCGGGTAAACACTATGTGGACAGTAAATATTCATACCACGCGTTATTTTTTCTAATTCTGCACGCACAAGAGAAAAGACGAGGTATCTCTGCGTCTGCGTCTCTCCGGCGACCAATCTCGGGCCTTTCAACACTTTCGACGCATCGAAGACGTGGAACACTCCTTCTCTGGTCGCATGACTTCGCGCTTAAAATCTCATCTAACGATGAAAAGTAAGTTGCGGGTTGCAGAGAAACGGGGACGCGTCCATAAATATTCAG